TTGTTATTCATTCATTAATAAAAAATTTAATGTATTTACATGTTTTTGACAATTAGTTCCTAATATCAAGTTCAAACTGAATAACTAAACTTTGATTAAAACGGTTTTTATTGTCACCGAGAATTCGGAGAATCATTTCGAGTTATAATAGTCCAACTAATCGTCAAAGTTTTGTCTTTCAGATGTATATTAAAGCAGGATAATCTCATCTTCATAAAGACTTTTCAGTTGGTAATCATTTTAACACTAAAAAGATGGTAAATGCAGTTCAACCATCTTGGAGCCTGACACAGACTGGTTGTGGTTCTGGAAGAAATAAGTATTTAAAAAGTAAAAAGTGTGTATATGCTACTGTGTTGTAGTGAATATACGATTTAGAGTAAATACTAAGACGAGCACGTCGATTATATTAACTATTGATAAGATGTTTATTTTTTATTGCGTAATGCATTATTTCGAATTGAATTTAAGTACATACTTTCAGTTTATAAATATTTACCACCATTTGGTAATCAGTTCACAAGCAACTAATATTACATTTGTAGTAAAAACCATCTCAATGTTTACTAGAATCTCTCGTATAAACCACAGCTTTAGGATCTGTTAAATATATATGGTTTCCTCGTCAGCTAAGGGGTAGCAGATCTATGTGTTATGAGTTGTTTCACTCCTGAAGACAACAGCCATCGTGATATTTTTAATTGTTTCTTGTTCTGATGGTCCTAATTTAGGAGTCTGAGGATTAAAAAGAGCAAGAACAAAGATTGGTGCAGAATAATATGAATTCATTTTATTTCGTTAGTTTCTCATCAACTGCGTACAACTTAAAATATTTGAAAATCAATGTTATTGCAGATATTGACCTTCTTATACATACGAGGGCGATTCAAGATGAATATATGCATTATGGTGTAGCGAAGATTTCAATAGAGTTAATAAGGTCATGAAAATTATTTGTTTCGGATAGAAAAAGTTTGAGACGGAAAGTTCCAGAACATTGAAATAGTGATTAGAACTCATGGAGTTAACAAACATTAGGTGATTGTGCAATGAAGCAACTGAAAGCAGAATAATAGTAATAAAGAAAGAATATAAATTAAAGAAAAATGACAATGATGTAGTTTAAAATTTTGAAAGAGTTGAAATGATGAATGACGTAATAAATAAAAAGGAGAACACAGGTGAGGTCAACCGGATGATATTTAGCATGAAATTACAGAGTTATTTGGTAAAATAGAAAAACCATACTATAATACTTAATTTGAAAAATGTTCAATAATTGTCTCGAAATTCGTTGTTCTTGCATTTCCATACCACAGCAGCAACTGTCGTGTGTGAGAATAGTCTGGAACAAATGTCAAGACATTCAAACCAAAATATAGCATCAGTCCATTAAGTCATGTTAATGGGTACAGACTACCTGATTGCTGTCCGCGTGATTATCGCAACCAATGGTTAGGGACTTTGAATGACGGCTCAAAATCGTTTGCAGTGGCGCAGGTGCATGCATTCTTTATCTTCCCTCGAATCCTGAGATTTTGAATTCCCCAAATTTTTTTATTGCACTGATTTATATTTTCTTCTCTTATCGTATCTTTTATCCCGAATCGTTTTTATTAGCACTGATACTGATACTACCTCTACTATTCTGAGACTTGACCTAATCATTCCATCTCTCTGTGTTTATGGAGTATGGCAAGTTGAACCTATGTATATACGTACGGGTTCTACTTTGTGAATGACCGACCGTTTAACAGTTCAACTGGCTTACGGTTACCCTCTACCACTAATAAACCTTCATGGCACATTGACGGAAGTCTCTCAACTATTGATGAATTTGAGAATCCTAAAGGTAGTCTAAAACTGTGGATAACAAACTGTCCTTATGGATTGACGCAAAAGGTGATGAAGGAATGTGATCCAGTTTTAACTGTTAAACTGACAGAGATATTAGGTAGAATCTGGAATATGAACGCAATCCCATCTAAGTGATCTCAATCGTTGATCGTTCCAGTTTCTAAGAAAGGAAAAATACTGTTGTAACTTTCACGGAGGTTTTAGTTTGACTAAAGTAAATATTAACATCCATGACCATCGGACACCTAGCTAGTGTCTGCGAAGAGTGAATGTGGGAAAACCAGGATTGTTTGAGACCTGGACGTGGTTGTATTAACCAAATATTCATCCTTCTTCAGGTTTTAGAAAAGTAAATATGCTGACTTCGGAATATTGTTCCATTCTTCATCTTCCTCTCGATCTTGAATTCCAGTATTCATTCATACATTCTTTTTTTCTTGGTCTTTTAGAACTATATTCCCAAGATTTAGTCTTTGTTTTTGTTGTAGTGGATAGACTGCAGGTTAGATGCGCAGCGTATTTATCGATCGATTCAGTGACACGTAAACACGTAATGAACGACTTAGAGTCCTGACTGGCCCTGCTTCCCTGTCTAGCCCAACCAGTTGAGTCCAGAACACAAGTTACAGCCTCTGAGATATGAATCATTGTATTTCAGACATACTCTATTTATATACTAACCAAACAGACCACATCGTACCATAAAAATAGAAACCAACATCTGTACAATAGTTAACGATTGAAATAAATAACGGCCAATAGGGAATGCCCATTTAGAGTCCAAGCACATCATTAGACTTAACATGATAATGATTGGTATATTCCTCAGTATCCCTAACAGTTTTTATGATTACTATCACAGTATTTCAAACTCTTGTTTTCTGTTCATTTCGTCGTGTTAATATCATTTTGTCAACTTACGTCAACGCACATCTGTCCCAGGTTTTTCATTAAATTGATTTTATTTCTAAAAGCTATACAATCATATTTTTATCAAATAGACATATTTCTTCGTCAACTATTTGATTATGAAACCAATGGAAATTTCATTTTACTTCATTAAAAGGAAAAAAAATTTTGAGGGAATACTTCAAGGATTTTTTTTCAAAGGTTTTTCAAACAATCAACAAATATCATACACATAGTTCCTTTTATCATTTCGAACAAAAATCCTAGCAGTATAGCATAAATTCATGCAAGTAATTTAAACCCATTATGTAATTATAATTTTAAATATCACAAGTTATAAGTAGCTGACGAGGAATTACAAAGTAAAAATGAATTCATGCCATTCTCCTAGAATCTTTATTCTTACACCTTTTAAAATCAACAAATAATCTTGAGATTTAACAGTTAATAATGTAACCTTTTAACTTCATATTTCACATACTCTAAGATGTATGTAAATAAATGAAACACATTAGAAATAGAATGTTTTACTTGTAATAATTCACATTATTGTAATACATTTCTCCTCAAAGACTACCAATTACTTTTACACATTTTTAAAATTACAAAAATAATTATTTTTATTAATAACTAAAATCTTATTCATTTAAATAGTTGCATTTAATTACAAAACATATTAGAACATGATTGTCTTTAGAATAAACTTCCATTTGTTGAGGACAAAATTGAAGATATTTTCGTAGTGATAGTAAATAAAGAATTCAAATCATAATAAATGGATTACAAGCATAAGTACTTACTTTAGATGGTAACTAATAAATTGTGATAAAAATATATTAAATACTGAGATGGTGGAGAAGATTTGTAGCTCAGGTGGATGATTTTGATGGAGTTTTGTTCTCTGAGCTGAATGGTTTGTTCGTGGAGCTTTCATCGTTCTTCTGAACGACATTATCAGCACAAACTTCAGATAGAAGTGAAGTGTTCGAATTTCTCCATATGCGTTTCACAGTGTGTTCTAACCTTAAGGTCAATAAGAACCAATCAACGTCGAGGTGTACAGAAGAACGATGAAAGCTCTACGACCATACCATTCAGCTCAGAGAACAAAACTCCATCAAAATATATTAAATACAATAGACAATACAATTTTACGTTTTACATATATAGTATGAAAAAACATGGCATACATTTACACTTCAGTTTTATAAGGTTAATAACCTATCTTTGTAGTAATGTAAGATGAATAAGTCCTGTACCATTCATAGTCGTTGTTTAAATAATGTAAAAAGTGTTTGGTGTCATTTCTCATAAAGAAATTGTGGATGGGTACTGCTGAGTATTTCGACAATAGGACAAAACGACCGTTCAGTGCTTCCAGGTTTTCCATGGTGGTCTAGCTTCAACTGACTCATGATCCCAAATACTAGAATTATTGTTTATTTAAGTTAAATAGAACTTATAGAATACCATAGAGTATAAATGACAGGAATAGTTTTTTGGTAAAATAAGTATACCAAAAAACTAAGTTACTGTACAATGAAAATTTAGTTTGAAATAATCAACTTACGCTGATTTTCATCTGATCTAAGCATTTCATGCAGTTGCTTCCCTTAACGAGTTTTATAATTCAAGCCAGAACAATAAGTGAAGTAGAATCATATGAATTCGTAATTTCTCATCAGCCGCTTCCAACTATATACGTGTTCAAGTATAACATAGAATGAATCAATCAAAATTAATGACGGAAGGAATTCGAGTAACAAAAATTATAAGTTATGACCTTATTAAATCTGTTCACAAGAAGTTGTAAGGAATTCAAAAACACAGGATGGAGATGAGACAGTGATCAAATCAAATCCGGAAATAGATAAGATTGATTACATGGTAGTTAATGTAATTATATTTTTCATAATGCACAATGCAAACAGCAATAGTAGTCGTAATAAACTACTGTATTTATCATTTATGTTATGCTTCAAATCATAGTAAAACTGAATGATGGAAAACTCTCCGAAAAAAAATTTAACCAATAATATGCTTTAATTTCAGTGTCCAATCACAAAAGATTAAGACTAAATTCCATTTGAATACTGAAATGTTTTCATTATCTAGTAATTGCTAACTGAATTATCCAATAATTTAGCTATCAAATGATGAAAGCTTAATCCATTTTTAAAATATAATAGATAAAATATCTTGATATATATATCTTAGTATTCATTTGTCACATATGTCACTTAACAAATTATATTTCACTAAGAAAACAGAAAAAAAAAGGACTTTCACTTTCAACAAACATTTACCTTGGATACTCAAAGTTCACTAACTTGAATGTATATGTATCTTAAATAAACGCTAATCAATCATTTAAAATGTAAAACAATACGTTAATAGTTCCATTATTGTTGTAAATATCAAAAATACTTAGTTTCTAATGTTGACGTGATGTTTTACCCAAAAGTAATCAAATAACAATGAAAAAGATGTTTTTCTGCAAGAAGTTAAAAAATCAGTTACGCCCCAGTTTAGTTGTAAAACAGTTGATTTTTAGTAGCTCTGTATTTGACTACAGTTAGATATTTTCTGTTTGTTATCGAAATATACATTTCGCCAGTTCTCGCATATAATTATCGACTTAACTCGCTTTACTGAATAACAAAATTAAATAAGTCAAATAGGAGAATGGAGTTTGAATACTTATGTTTCATACAATAATTAATCGGAACAGACAGTCAGAGAATTACAGCGAAGGAAGCACAGAGGTGAAAGTGAAGCAAAACGAAAGGACGCACAGTGAAGAAGGTGAGTTAACCAATTCAATTTAACCAAGTGTGAATCAATATTTATAGTCAGAGAAAAATCAGTTACAGACATGTAATGTGTAAGATAAGCAATACATGCACACATGATTATATAAAAGACAGTCAGGATGAATAAGCAATAAATGACAAGGTCAAAGTGTAACTTGAGAAGAATAGTTGAATTGGTTTGATCAGAAGCTCGAATAAGTTATAATGGTTCAACATAATATCAGCCACTATAGATTAATTCAAATGATTTCACTAATGATTAACTTTATTAATTAATTTTAGAGATAAGCATTCAGTAAACTGGCATAAAAATTAATGTGATATAATCAATAATATGCGTAAATAATTGAAGATTAAATAGAAAAGTGCAATTTATCCGTATAGTATAATACTATACTATAAATGATTACATCATAAGATAATATTCAATAGTTCATATTTATTCATTCAATATATATATTAACACATTAATTACCCATTTTAAACTTTCCTCTGGATCTACTACTGTTTATTTTATACATTAGAACAAAGAATAAATAAACGAATTCCTACATAAAGACACATGAAAATTCGATTATTATCAATTATAACAATCATTATACAATGCATTCCATCCATCTTATCAGCTACATCGAGTAATCAAAAAGAAAGTTCATCATCTTATTATTATGTGGTACGTTCACCAAAAATTGAAAAACGATCATATACAGAAGATGAAGCATTAACACATCAGAAAGAAAAAACAAAAATTGATACTGCTATTCAAACATATACAAAAACAACAAATACATCCTCTTCACTTTTGTCTCCAGCATCATTATCAATAACATCATCATCATCATCATCTTATGGTAATAATGTGAAAAAGAATAATGGTGCATACAATGTTAAACCTAATGTAACTATGAATGCAGAAAGTATATATCAAGATAAAAATTCATTGAAATATGTGAAAACTGTAAAAAAACGTCGAGAAATCAGTGAGGTTATTAAACATATACCAAAATCGACATATAATCAACAATCGAATAAATATACTGATCAGAATAAGAAAACTAATAATTATAATGATAAAAAGGAAACAAAGAATTACAATAATGTTAAGAAGAAATACACATATTCTGATAGTAGTAGTAGTAAAAGTAATGACAACAATCATCACAATGATAAAAACTACAATAATAATTATTATTATTATAACGGTAATAATAATAACTACAACGGTAATGACAATTACAATAACAATCACAATAATTACAATGGTAATAGTAACGATCGTTACAATAATGGCAATAACTACAATGGCAATGACAATTACAATAACAATGACAATAATTACAATGGTAATAAAAACAATTATTACAATAATGGCAATAACTACAATGGCAATGACAATTACAATAACAATGACAATAATTACAATGGTAATAAAAACAATTATTACAATAATGGCAATAACTACAACAGTAACGGCAATGATGGTAACAATAACGACTACTATTCACATGATTACATCAAAAACACTGGCAGCTACAATAATGATGTAAAATATAATGCTGAAAATTACAATCGTGATTATACACGCAATGTTTATATATCTGACAATAATGACCGTAGGAATAATCGAAATTCCAATAGAAATTACGTGATTAAAAATACCAAATTTAACAATTATGCCAACAGATATAATGGTAGGCGAAGAAATAATAAAAGACATAATAATAATAATAATAATAATAATAATAATTACAACAAAGCCTATAATAACCAAAGACGTTATAATGAAAATCGTAATATCGGGAATAATAACAATTACAATCGTAACGGTAATCAAAACTATCAGAATGGTTATCGTGCTTACAAGTACAACTATAATGGTAATAATAATAATGACCGGAATAATTTCGATGACAAATCTAATTACAATTACAATAATGATCGTAATAACCACAATAACAAACAGATTAATCAAAATGTCAATTATAATATCAATAACAATGACGCTTACAATGGATATGATAATTACAAAACCAACAATCATCCTGAACGTAATATACCCTATCAAAATAACAATAAATATAATAACATTGAAAATAATGTGAATAATGATAATAGTAATAATAATTATCATGATACGTACAATACTAAAGATTATGAAACTAACAGAAATCCTGTTAATTATGGTAGTAGTTATATTAGAAGTAAATTAGGTAAACCAGATTATTCTACTCCTGCAGAAAGAAGTAATGAACAAAATTATCCATCAATGCCAAATACAGCGAATGAACAATCAGACAATCAAGAAAGTAATCAATATGGGAAAGAAAAAGAGAAAGATACAGATTTTAATCCAGTAGGACAAGATGTTAATCCCATGTCCGGTTTAAATCCTTTTAGTGGTATATTCAATTTAGGACAAATGGGAAATGGAGGGTTAGGTTTTTAAATTTTATGCTAACTAAATGATTAACAATTACTCAAATTCATGGATATATTGTGACAAAACTATGTTTTATTTTTAAAATATCTTTCCTCAACTGATACCATATAAACAGTTAATAAAGGCTTATTTATTAAGCTAGATTTTTCCAGTCAAAATGATTTAATATTTGTAATTGAATGTCATCTTTGTATGTTTATCATGTTTTTTTCTAAGATCTGAAATAGAAGTATGAACTGATTTGATGATTTGAACACTTTTCTCTTAATTCATTGATCATTGATTCATAATTATGAAAAAGAATTTTAAATGATAAGTGATAAGAAACCCCCCAAATTTATGTTTGGTCTTTTGAACGCTTATGAAGAATATACATATTACTTACTTACTTACTTACTTACTTACTTACTTACTTACTTACTTACTTACTTACTTACGTACTTACTTACTGACTTACTGACTTACTTACTTACTTACTTACTTACTTACTTACTTACTTACTTACTTACTTACTTACTTACTTACTTACTTACTTACTTACTTACTTACTTACTTACTTACTTACTTACTTACTTACTTACTTACTTACTTACTTACTTACTTACTTACTTACTTACTTACTTACTTACTTACTTACTTACTTACTTACTTACTTACTTACTTACTTACTTACTTACTTACTTACTTACTTACTTACTTACTTACTTACTTACTTACTTACTTACTTACTTACTTACTTACTTACTTACTTACTTACTTACTTACTTACTTACTTACTTACTTACTTACTTACTTACTTACTTACTTACTTACTTACTTACTTACTTACTTACTTACTTACTTACTTACTTACTTACTTACTTACTTACTTACTTACTTACTTACTTACTTACTTACTTACTTACTTACTTACTTACTTACTTACTTACTTACTTACTTACTTACTTACTTACTTACTTACTTACTTACTTACTTACTTACTTACTTACTTACTTACTTACTTACTTACTTACTTACTTACTTACTTACTTACTTACTTACTTACTTACTTACTTACTTACTTACTTACTTACTTACTTACTTACTTACTTACTTACTTACTTACTTACTTACTTACTTACTTACTTACTTACTTACTTACTTACTTACTTACTTACTTACTTACTTACTTACTTACTTACTTACTTACTTACTTACTTACTTACTTACTTACTTACTTACTTACTTACTTACTTACTTACTTACTTACTTACTTACTTACTTACTTACTTACTTACTTACTTACTTACTTACTTACTTACTTACTTACTTACTTACTTACTTACTTACTTACTTACTTACTTACTTACTTACTTACTTACTTACTTACTTACTTACTTACTTACTTACTTACTTACTTACTTACTTACTTACTTACTTACTTACTTACTTACTTACTTACTTACTTACTTACTTACTTACTTACTTACTTACTTACTTACTTACTTACTTACTTACTTACTTACTTACTTACTTACTTACTTACTTACTTACTTACTTACTTACTTACTTACTTACTTACTTACTTACTTACTTACTTACTTACTTACTTACTTACTTACTTACTTACTTACTTACTTACTTACTTACTTACTTACTTACTTACTTACTTACTTACTTACTTACTTACTTACTTACTTACTTACTTACTTACTTACTTACTTACTTACTTACTTACTTACTTACTTACTTACTTACTTACTTACTTACTTACTTACTTACTTACTTACTTACTTACTTACTTACTTACTTACTTACTTACTTACTTACTTACTTACTTACTTACTTACTTACTTACTTACTTACTTACTTACTTACTTACTTACTTACTTACTTACTTACTTACTTACTTACTTACTTACTTACTTACTTACTTACTTACTTACTTACTTACTTACTTACTTACTTACTTACTTACTTACTTACTTACTTACTTACTTACTTACTTACTTACTTACTTACTTACTTACTTACTTACTTACTTACTTACTTACTTACTTACTTACTTACTTACTTACTTACTTACTTACTTACTTACTTACTTACTTACTTACTTACTTACTTACTTACTTACTTACTTACTTACTTACTTACTTACTTACTTACTTACTTACTTACTTACTTACTTACTTACTTACTTACTTACTTACTTACTTACTTACTTACTTACTTACTTACTTACTTACTTACTTACTTACTTACTTACTTACTTACTTACTTACTTACTTACTTACTTACTTACTTACTTACTTACTTACTTACTTACTTACTTACTTACTTACTTACTTACTTACGCCTGTTACTCCTCGTGAACGAGCATAGGTCGTTCACCAGCATTCTCCATCCAACCCTGTCCTGGGCAATCCTTCCCAGCTCCTTTCAGTTGTTATTCGTCATTTTCATATCTGCTTTTATTTCCCGACGTAATGTGTTCTTTGACCTTCCTCTTTTCCGCTTTCCTTCAGGATTCCAAGTTAGTGCTTGCCTCGTGATGCAGTTTGATGATTTGCATAATGTATGTCCTATCCATTTCCATCGTCGTTTTCTAATTTCTTCTTCAGCTGGAAGATGGTTTGTTCTCTCCCACAGAAGACTGTTGCTGATGGTATCCGGCCAATGGATGTTGAGTATCTTGCGTAGACAGCTATTTATAAATACTTGTACCTTCTTGATGGTGTTTGTTGTAGTTTTCCAAGTTTCAGCTCCGTACAATGGAATTGCCTTGACGTTGGTATTGAAGATTGTGAATTTGATATTGGTTGTATATTCAAACAATTCAATATACATATATAGCCGAAAAAATAATTACTACTTGAACATCTATGCCTGTTAACCCTCGTAGAACAACACACGTCGCCAAACAGCAAACTCTAACTTATCCTGTCCTGGGCATTTCTTTCTAGTCTCTTTCAAGTGCTATTCATTCTTTTGAAATCTGCCTCCGATTCCCAGTAACATGTGTTTTTAGCCTTATTCTTTGAAGATTTCAAGCTGGGACTTGCCTGGTGATGAAGTGGTTTCCGGTGATTTCCTTAATGTATCTTCTACCCACTTCCACCGTCTTTTCATAATTTCCTATTCAACTGAAAGTTGATTTGTTCTCCACCACAGTAGGTTGTTGCTGATAGTATCCGACCAACAGACATTAAGTATGTTGCATAGACAACTGTCTATAAATACCTGTACCTTCTTGATGGTGGTTGTAGTAGCTCAGAAAGTTTCGCCCTAGTACAATAAAACTGTCTTGATGTTTGTATTGAAAATTGTGACTTTGATGTTGGCAGACAGTTGCTTTGAGTTACAGATGCTTTTCAATTGTAGGAACATTTTTCTTGTTTGGTCAATCCATCGCTTCACTTCTATATCAGATCCAACTGATTTATCAGTGATGATGCCCAGGTACACAAATCTCCCTATCTCTTCCATAGATTTTCCATCAAGTCTGATTGTGCGCCGTATTTCAGGATCTTGGTTTTTATCTTATGTGTGTTCAAGCCTACTGATGCATAGGCTGCTACTACACTGACTGTCTTCACCAGCAGTTTTTGATGTATATGGCATGGAAGAGCTAGGCGATGTGTGAAGTCCAAATCGTCTAGCTGCATTCATGCTGTCCATTGTATTCTATGCTTACCCTCAAATGTCGAGATCTTCATAATCCAGTCAACCACCAGGAGAAATAGAAAGGGTGATTGTAAGCAGCCTTGTCTGACTCCGGTCGTCACATGGAATGCATCTGTCATCTGTCCTCCATTTACGACTTTGCAGTGTAGTCCGTCATATCAATTCCTTATGATTATGACAGTCTTCTCCTGTATACCATAGTGTAGAAGAAGGTCCCATAGTGTTCTCTTATTCACGCTGTCAAACGCCTTCTCTGATTGTCGAGGAAGTTGATGTGTAGTGATGGATTCCACTCAGATGATTGCATACCAATGATCTGTAGTATCACGAGTTGGTCTATGAACAACCGATCCTTACGGAATCCAAGCTGTTGATTCCGAAGTTGTGTGTCTACTGAATTTTTCATCCAGTCCAGCAACACTTAGTTGAAAACATTTCCTCGTACTGACAGTAATGTGATGCCTCTATAGTTTTAAGTGTGAGAACTATAGTTCTCACACTTGCTGAGATCTCCTTTCTTTAATGTCTTGATGAGTTATCTTCCTTTCTAATCTGCTGGTTATTGTTCTTCCTCTCAGACCTCCTGAATAGAGCATGTCTGTCGTTTCTTCTATACCCGACTTCATTGGCTCAGCTTGTATGTTGTCAAATTGTGCTGCATCCCCACACCTGACTTGTCTGATGGCCATCCTGATTTCTTCGATCGTTGGTGGAATGACATCTATAAGAAAGTTTGTGTATACTGCCTCAACGTCCGGTGGGTTCAGTTTGGTCGGTCTATTCAAGAGTTCTCCGGTGTTCCGCCCACCTATTCCTCTGTTCTTGAGTATCAGTGATTGGCTTTCCCTTTTTATTATTGGCCGGCCTCTTTTGTTTACTGTATTTCCCATCTAGTTTGTTCGCTGTGTCATATAGTTGGTTGATATTTCCTCGACATGCAGCTTTTCCCACTATCGTTGCTAGGTCTTCTATGTATTTTTGCTTGTCGGTTCCAATTCTCCTCTTCACCTGCTTGTTTGTTTCTGTGTATTCGGCCTGTGCCTTATCGTTGCAACCACTGTGTGGTGATCTGAAACTACTTCAACTCCTCTCTTTGTTCTCACGCTTTTCATTGACAGCCTTTATTTCTTTTTATTGATCCAAATATGATCATTTTGATTCGCTGTAGTGTGATCCTGTGAGCCCGATGTAACCTCACATGTGCATTGATGAGTGGAAATGCTGCTATGTATAACTGTGTTATTGAAAGCACATAGATTTTCCATTCTCTCAATATTCTCGTTCTTTTACCCACATTCATATCACTCCATGATGCCTTTATACTGGGCGTTAACCATCTCAGATTTGGTGTTCCGATTTCCTATCACGGTGTTCAGTTGCCTTCCTCGAAAGTTCTCTGCGATCGACTTTAGCCTCATAAAGCCGGTCTCCATCATATTCGCTGCTACGATTAGCGGGTGCATAACATTGGATGCCACTCATTGTGATTCCCTACTTGTTTGAAGAGCAGCAATGCAAGTGGTTGTGTGTTTGTGTGCAAAGCATTTTCTAGTTCATGATCAGAACACAACAGTACCTGCTCCG